AACCGGTGCGGGTGAACGAGATTAGAAAAAACGATCTCACAGCTCCTTTTCCAACTCCTGGATTTCCTCCCTGTCAAAGCGATCACAAATCGTGGGGTCCAATGCGTTCTTAAATCCTCCGAACCGCAAATCTGTATGCACCGAAAAGTGCGTATCATTCTTTTCCCCTTCTCTGTGCTTCCTCTTCTGTCTTCTCCTGCTTGTCCTGTGGCGAAAATGCGCCTTTTCGTGTCCCCTCGGCACTTCCACCGCTAACCGTTTTTGTTTGGGGCCCTTAGAGAGAAAAGAGCTAGAGTTCTAGGAGCTCTAAAGGTGCCGGAACAACTCATATCCTCAGCTCCGGCTTGATTCCGTTCCGGCCGTTGCGGGCTCTCCGGGCTTGCCTTCTCTTCCGTGCCGTGTAGGCAGCTTGGTTCTGAAGTTTGTCTTGTTGTGAAGAGTTGAATTGCGGCTGTGTTGCTGCTGTGTTGCTGCTGTGTTGCTTCGTCGCGTCGCTGTGGTGCCTGAACTCCGCTTTGCTCCCAGCAGCGAGCTATGGATGCATAAAAAGCTGCATTATGAACTTGCAACAGACGCTGAGCTGCATTGACGTAGTGTCCCTCGCCCCGTCTTCACAGATAGATACCATATGCTCTAGATACGACCTTTCTATGCCCGCCGCACTTGTGATGAATCAAGGGGACAGAGCGGTAGAACAACAAGTGTTGAGCGACGTCTGTGCTCAGGCAAAAGAGCGAGTATCTTTCGTGTCTAGCTATTGAAGGAATGGTGCATTGGAAGGTTGCCTTGCTGCTGGCCTTGGAGCAGAGCGAGCTGTACAGAGCTCGCTTTGCACGCTTCGACAAGAAAAACGGGACAACACCCGTCCGTCCTGTCTAGCATAGTTCTGCTGGCTGGCTACCTCCATTTCTTCCCAACCTCCATCATCGATTGAGAAACGAATTCATCACTCTGCTTGATACTTTCAACAGGCACCGCCATTTTAGAGATAGTCAGCATCCCCCTCACCGCACCCACTCGCTCCCTGCCTGCACTACCACGCCCACCGTTGGCACGCTCCCGCTACTTGCCCCTCCACTTTCGTCACCACGCCAAGCCTAAAGGGCAACACCACAGCCAACGATTATTGGAGTGTAGATTGGCCCCAACGATACAACGCAGTCAACGTAGTCGAGACGGAAGCGAAGCGGCGAAGAACAGAACTGGACGTGAGTTTCCCCTTTCCTTGGTGAAGCATCGAGACAGTTGCAAGGCGGGGTCTACTCTATCCATTCCTTCACAACGGCAGCCGGGACCTTGAACTAGAACTACGCAACTGACCCTTCATTCGCCATTAGAGTTTGCCACGAACCACCAACGACTTAGAAACTACAGACCTTAGGCCCAACTCTAGAAACATTCGATAACTCCGATACCCGGAAGATACAATCCACATTCATCCAAAACCCCAATACCAACAACGAAAACGAGACAAAAGAAAGAAAGAAACGATATTTATAACCTAAGCAATGATTAGCGGTTTACTCAGTGGTTATCGCGAACCGCAACATTCCCGGAGGAGGTCATCTTTGACAAGTTAGTGGCCTACGATAGGGACTGGGGAATATGACTGATGAGAGATGGCAGGTAACAAATCGGATGCTGATGGAACGACGGCGGGTGTAAAGGAGGAGGAGGAGACGGTGGTTGATGAGAATGAGAAGAGCAGTATGCATCCCCCTCTTATTTCAAGCTTCAATTATGGAAGATAGCTCGGGGAAGCAAGGGGCTTGCGGGAACGAGCTTTGGGGAAACAATAGGCTGATGATGAAACAGTGCTCATGTCCATCATCTCGCAACTACGACCCGGCGCGGATCTGAGTAGAATCACGCTACCGACTTTCATCTTGGAGCCTAGGAGTATGCTGGAGAGGATTACCAAGTATGTTGACTCGAGCTACGGGGGATTGGGGGTATTGAATGGGGATGGCAACTGACATATGGTGAAGCTTCATGCAGCATCCCGAGACTCTGCTGCCGATGTCCAAAGTCGATGATCCCGAGAAGCGGTTTATCAGCGTTGTGAAATTCTACTTGTCGGGTTGGCATATCAAGCCTGCGTGCGTTCCCTTGATCTTCTCCCAGCTGTAGCGATACTGACCGTCGCAGCGGTGTCAAGAAGCCTCTCAACCCCATTCTCGGAGAATGGTTCACCTGCCACTGGGACTTTGTCGATGCGCCCGGTACCCAAGCATTCTACATTTCCGAGCAGACTTCTCACCACCCCCCAAAGTCTTCCTACTTCTACATGTCTCCCCACCACCACATCCGTATCGACGGAACCCTCAAGCCTCAATCCCGATTCCTCGGAAACTCCGCCGCGTCAATGATGAACACCTCCATCGTTGTGTTACGATTGATGAACCGCGGAGCAACAGCCGGAAAGCAAGGAGGAGGAGAAAAGTATATTCTAACACAGCCCAATATGTATGTGCGAGGAATTTTGTTCGGAAAGATGAAGTATGAATTGGGAGACCACTCATATGTCAGATGTTCAGAATTGGATTTGGTCGCGGATATCGAGTTTAAGGTTAAGGGTTTCTTTACCGGTGGATATAATGTTATTGGGGGTGTCATTAAGCGCGAGTCTACTGGGGAGGTTCTGTATGAGATTTCCGGAAGCTGGAATGGGGAGATGCACATTACCGACAAGAAGGTGTGTTTTCTGGCGAGCTCGCGAGCTCAACGCGTGCGACGCGTTTCCCTCGCCTTGCAAAGTTCAACGCCGCTAACACGTTCTAGACTGGCCACCGTGAACTCCTCTTCGACGCAACCTACGCCCGTCCAACTCCCCCCTCCGTTCGTCCCATCACTCAACAGGAACGTCGGGAATCTCAACGCCTATGGAAACAAGTCGTCGCAGCACTCAAGGAAAGGAACCAAGAAACCGCGACGGATGAAAAATTCAAGATTGAGGATCGTCAACGTGAGGAGGCTAGAGCGAGAGAGGCAGATGGTGTCGAATGGGTACCGCGTTACTTTAGACCGGTGGATTTGGCGAGGGGTGAGGAGGAACAGCTGGATTTCGTGTTGAATACGAACATGTGAGTATCCCGCGCTGAGAGCACGGTAGTGCTCGAAGCCTCCAGAGGAGAAACCCCCATAAGGCCCAGGATGGAGAAGCCTCGCAAAGCCACCGCGAGCATCTCCGGATAGAAGAAAGAGCTGTCGAGGGCTTTGGGTTGGGGAGGAACATGGGTTGCAGGGGTGGGGAAATGTGAGAACAAAGGCTAATGAGTAATCAGCGACGAAACCGCCTCTGCACAAGACCAGATCCGTCAAATCCTAGGAATTGCACCGATAGTCGCCGGTCAATCCAGAAGACCATCAACCTACGAGATACCACCACACGCCGGAAAGTCCACAATAGACGATCATGACGAGTTTGTTGATGCTGAAAGCTAAATGGGTAGCGCATAGCGCGAGCCCCGGACGAAGCGAACGAAGCGTGTCAGCAGTGAGGGCCGGAAGCAAAGCGAGCAAAGTATGGAGAAGTGCAATGCATAGCGCCGCGAGCCGAGCGTATACCAGCATACCCCTAAAGCATTTTGCTGCAAATATCTATGTTTTTTGAAAGTGTTTTCATGTTTTTTCTTTTATTTTCTGTTGCGTGGGTTTGGGTTTTGTTTTGAAATTTGTTGCGATTTTGAAAGATTTGTTATCTATGTTTTTGTTTTTGTTTTTTGCTTCATGGAGTTTTTTTTTTGATATGATTATCTGATTATCTTGAGAGAGAGAAAGAAACGCTCCTTTTTATTGTAAATTGTGGTTTTTTTTTTTTTTTCTAAACTTACATCCGATTGAACTTTTGAACTTGCAGATAGATGAGTGGGAATGATGGAATGCAAAGATGATTTGAATGAATATTTATATGCGAGAGTATTTGGGGTTTAACGTGATTTAGTCCAGCTGAAGTTGTGATTTAACTGTGGAGTGGGGAGGGGGGGGAAGGAGCATGAAATGTGAAGTTTGAGCCAGGGAATTTGAGAAAATTACCCAACACAGACGACCGGCTGTGTATGTAGCGTCATGATGCATTGATACACCCGATTACCTGGGATCCCCACAAAGACCATGCAAAGTGCAGTCCTGTGAAATAGCTAGGTTCCCAGGAAGTGCGATCCAAGACCGTGACACCCTGACATAAGGGTCCAGGGCCAGGCCCTTAAAAAAGGAGCTTAATTCAACGTCCTGACCGGTTTAATTATTCTCTGCACCTTCTTTCCCTGAATCCGATAGAAGTTTTCATATCGTTACCTGCACTGTGCTTTTGATTCTTAGTATGCTGTGATGATGGCGGTGGGGGATGTGATGGTGGGGGATGTGTTGGGAGTCGCTGGAGGTGGTTTACGAAACTGTACATAACTCAACCGCACTAACTCACTCCTGTATCTTTCTTCATAGAAATCTTGAAGCAAATAGCTAATCTTCTCTTCGTCTTTATATTCTAAGTGACGGTGGCGTTGATTGCAGATGCGGTTTCGATCCTAGCTACCGTCATCAGCGGTCGTCATCATGGGCGTCGCAGTGGTTGTGGTTGGCAATGTTCATGATACAAGCCTGCTCCCAGCACAGCTGATAGGCGGTGGATGGAGGGAAAGGAACGAGAGGAAAGAAATCAATTTTTGTGAGCTTCTGGCTTTAGGAAATCTTGTACCATGTACGGGCCGCAGTAGAGTCGCGTTGTCGCTGGTGGTTGTCGTGTGTCCTCACTTCAGCATCTCCTTTCATACCGCGGTATCTCGCTTGCTCGCTTCCGCAAGCATCAAGTACAGAGTTAAATCTAGCTTCTGTCTCTGCCCCCCCTCCATTATCCCCCGTACCTTTCATTGCTTCTCCATCAATTCTTCACCATTCCTCGCTTCCCCACCTTTCCCTGCCTTTCCCAACCTCTCCATCCATCTCATCACGTGATAACATCCCTACATATCCCATCTACAACCACCTCCAACAACAAGCCAACACCGCTGGTGTAGGGGTAACATATTACCTTCCCATCCTTTGGACAGGAATAGGTAATGCCGTGGGTTCGATTCCCGCGCGGTGTAGACTTTTTGCTGCTGCCGGTAGAATGTGTTGTGCATTGTGCCCGTCGGGAAGGTGGGTGGAGTCATCATGCAAGGGGGGTTGAGAAGGTGGGGTTGTACCATGCCGGTCATGTGGTGTCACTCGGGTTTGAAGAAAGGGGTCCTGTGGTGATTGATTGGTTGTATCATATTATTGTACAAATAACTCGTAGGATACCTGTAATCTTAGGCCATATGTCGTGGAATACCATATGTAGGTGAAAAATGCTTTGTAGTATACTACCTAATTAGCAACCATACTGCACAGTATAGGTTAGGATTCGGGTTAGTCTTAGTTAGAGGGTTGGTTAGAGTTACGGTTAGAGTTAAATATGGTATCCTACGAAAGAATGTGGTATCTTACGAATTACGACTTGAGGTTGTGATATCATGCGAGTTTACCGTTTTTATTGAAATTTATTGGCCCTATTGATGTTTCGCGTCTACTCTATGCACGCTTCGCGTCACGTCGTTCAGGAACGCTGCTGTTCCCAATCGCGAAACATGTCACAATTGTGCCAGGCCACGTTGACAACCGTCAAGACAAGTGATAAAAGCAGGTAGCTCAAGGTAGAAATAAAATGCCGGAAATAGGGAACGACTTTAAGTAAGCGAGAAAGGAGCGAACGATCGCAGAAAGTAAACGAGAAAAACGATGCGAAGGGGATAGAAAAGAGAACGCGCAGGTTGCAAGCAAGACCGTGGGCTCGCACGCGCCGATGGAATGTGTTTTTCTGCTCTCTGTAGCTTGTGAATACCGTTCCAGGGTGAACAAATTGTTTCGCGCTAGAGATGGGGGAATAGAGGCAGGGTTCGCTAGGTAGGCGGGGGAATCCAGGAACGTACAGGCGGAGATCCAGATGATATATACACCTCCGCCGGGCTGCTAGCAGAGCATCTCTTTCTCCCCAGCAATTCAACCACAACTCCATCTTTCCTCCACCAATTGAGATATCTTGTGGTTTTGTCTAATCATCATCATTGGTACCCCGCCTGAGGTAACCGTCTCTTCCATTCCGTTTTATTTGATCGTTATTTCACCTTTCTTTAAGATTTGAACGCACGATGCTGACAATATTCTATAGACTTCCCCCAGACATTTTGCAACACAGACCCATCTCGCATTCTACCATTTGGGCAATTTCGAAATATCTGTCCACGGTGCTTGGGAAAATTTGTCACTAAACGTGACAGGTTACTGCTCTGATGATGCTGATATGGAGGCCGAGGGTGGGAAAGTTAGCAAAGAGTCTCTCTGATCGGACGGTGGCGGTCAACCTGGGTCCGTATTCCGACATGACTAAGATACTTCGCTTGAGGGGCTAGACAGGACTGAGGCTGGTTATCCATTCGTGGGGGAACTAACCACAAGTCACAGAATTCGAAGTATACACCGATCCACCATTCTATCCCACTTCCTCTACCAGTCCAGCAATCTCCAAACGTATATTCATGGTATTTGGGAACACTAGCTACCAAACGTGATGGGTCACCGCTCTGACGATGCGGTTATGGAGGCAGTGTTTGGGAAAGTTAGCAAAGGGTTTCACTGATCAGGAGGTGGCAGTCGACCTGAATCCGGGCTACGATATGGCGGAAGAGAATTCGCTTGGGGTACGCATTCCACGGGCCATTATCTTCGATGAATATGAGTGTTGGACTGAGTTGAAATATTCTTGTCAGTTGCCTACAAACGTCTCCCATTCCTCAACTTTATGACTGTACGATGCTAATCACTTACGGCATTATATTTAGGCAGTCTGGTTGACGCGAGGAGACAAAGTGATGTGTTGGAATATCGTGTATATAGTTGCGGTCTCATACATCGGAATTCTGATTCGCGTGCTCCATATCCATAGGTTATCACTCGTGTTGTTTGTTCCTCGGGTTCACAGAAAATACACACGCAAGTCTGGTAAAAACGTATGTGCCGCCCGAATGGCCCCGGTTTTTAAAATCGTGAGCCAAACTCGGCCTTGTCGCTCGGAGGCTACCAAGCATCTCATGGTATACATTTTTTTGAAGGCCTTTAGCGAAGTGCATATTTACGTTCGCAAAGCTGCAGAAGAAGCTAATAATCAGGAGTGCACTAGCCAAATATGCAGGGACGCGATTAACGTACTTAGAATCTTTAGCCTACCATTGTAATCCTGAAGTTCGGCAGAAGCTGCCCTAGCTTTTATAGGCGTGGAATGATCAAAATGAGTCCAGGATAGTGATGGGCACGAGACGAGGGTCTCGAGACTGGTCAATACTGCCATAGCTACGACTCATTTTCTTATTTTTAGGTACTTTATTAGCTATTTTTTGATGGCTTTAGATAGTTTATTTCTGGGTTGCAGTAGGTCATAAATCTCTTATCTATTATGATTCTTTAATTTTGGAACCTAGAATTTATTTTCCAATGGACAACTCAATAAGGATTTTCCGCAGGCACGCCGGATGATGCTGATGATAGGAATGGGATGAAAAGATATTGAGGATAAATGGTGAGTGACAAGGTGATGGGGGTTGGTGAGGGGTGATAAGGTGGGTTTCATGATTGATCGCATGGGATTTTATTTTATTGGTCTCCTCATGTTGCAGATTGTTTGGAGCTTGAGAAGAAGTGGAACTGTTTATTGCATGATATCATGGGACTGAAAGATACTTGCTCTGATCATCCATCAGCATCTATTACCGTATCTACTCAAATACAACGTGAAATTACTAAGAAGAGGATGTTAGGCTAGCCGCTGTTTGGGATCAACAGTGAGCATAGTGCTGCTCTAACGATATCAAAGCATGGAGTTGGGGAACAATTTGCATCGGAGAAGTTTTTCACGGAGCTGCAGCATTCATGGACAAAGACTTAAAGCGATTCAAATCAGTCAGTATTATCTAAGTAGTAGCACCTCTTTCTTTCAGAAGGGGCGCCATGTTTTTGCTGCCCCAACATGAGGATTCTACATAGTACAAAGCAGTTTTCCCAGCTTTACATCTCGCGTTGACATCCACATCTTTCCTTTCTAGAATTACAGCTAGCGCTTTATTTACACCACCCTCCACTGTATGGATAAGCGCAGTTTTACCATCATTGTCCCGAGAGTTGACGTCAATATCATCCTCTCTAATATCATCTGCAGCATACGCGCACTGATTTCCGATATATAATAATGACGGCACAGCATGTGTGATAATACAGTCCGTCCGTGAATTGGGTCCTTCAAGTTGATGTCAAGGTTCTCTATTTCCAATAGTAGACGTAATAGTTCCACCTGTCGATTTAAAGCAGCCAGATGAAACATTCCACGCCCTTTCTTATTTACCAAATTAACGTCAAGACCACACTTGAATAATACCTTCAAGATATCTAAAGAGTGGCTGGTGACAGCTTCAGACAGGAGGCGCCAGACTTTTTTTTGGATCATTTCCCGATTTCGTGCATAAACTCCGACATCCAGTTCGCTGAGAGTCTTCAAGATATCCGGTTTTCTCAAATCCAATGCATAACTAAACATTTCTGTAGAGATTCTCTCGTAGATGTCGAAGACTCGATATGCGGAAAGAATTCCTCGTATAACGACTTGGTCATTTGAACGGATCGCGAATTCTAGCGTAGCCTTGAGAGAATTATGATGGAAGCCCGAATCTAGCACCATTTGAATCATGGATTGATATCCATCTTTGGCAGCAAACCAAAGGGTTTTGTGGCGGGGATCATCGACATCCGAACTTTCTGCTCAATGAGACCGGAAAAGTAACCTGCGAGAAACCTCGTTTCCTATAAGAAGAGACACGTGGAGAGAAGCGTTCTTCGAATATGCGAAATTAAAGCCAGCTGTTCGCCATTGAGGGAAATTGTTATGGTCTATGAAAGCTCGTGCAGCGGAATATATCTCGTCACAAGGGAATGTTAATGCTGTGTTCTTCGAGGGTATCTGCCGTGCGAGAATATTTTTGAGGATTTCCAATACTTCGTGCTGAACAGCGATGTAACTTGTAAATGCATGGAATGGTGCGTAATCGGAAGGAAATTCTGTCCATGGTAACTCCAAATATTCTTTGAGTGCACGAAGAATAAGCAATAATTCCACTTTTTGCTTTATTCATTGTAAGCCTATTAAAATTACGCAATCCCTTCGCACGCGGATTCATACCAAAACTGTTCGGAAAATGAACTCTCGATGCAATTTTGCTAATCTCAAAGCTCGGGGATACTAGACATTTTCATTTTCAATCAGTATTCTGTGCAATGTGACTACCAAAAGACGAAGATGAATAGTCTGAAATACCTGGAATATCTGCTAACAAATTCCATCCTTGGTCATGAATAACCAGTTGTCCATCTTTTATGTTCTTATGTAGAAGCAGTAGAAATATACACTCAATCCAATTCTCCGCAGAATTGGTGATTCCCTGTTCTCCATATCGGCCGAATCTATGACAGAGTAAGCATCTATCTTGTCACACACACCATATACCTAACGCAAAACGGGTGGGATAATACAGAGGAGAAATACCTTTGGAAGCAGATGTGTTCATCCTGTAGTTCCCAGGAACTGAATCTTTCTCCCGATTTACTGGTCAGTTTCAACATTGGCCCTTCAACCTTAGATTCCCAGATTACAAAGTTTTCAACAGAACTCGTGTTCTTAGCGAGACTTATGAGGGATTTCCCTGTTGATTCTAAGTAGAGAAACTCGTCTCTGATTGCCTATAGAGACTATCAGAAGGCGTTCATACAGCACAGTAAGGAACAGGATTCTTACTTCAATCAAAGGAGACACGTCAAGGTTCATGACCGGATCTAGATATGTAAGCTGTGGGTGCTGATGAATCTTTTGGAAAAGAATCTAGCGGGCTTGGAGAAGATTGTAGCAACCCTGTGCAGATGGTACACTTGTGCCCTCTTCATCCTGTTACACTGTGAGCTGGTGTCTGCAAAACATGCCGAAATCTTCTTGGATGTGGGATACAAACAAGATCTGAGTAACTTCTAA